GAAAAACGAAACCGTGTAATTGTAAAACGTAATTTTGTTGTTCTTCGTCTTAGTTCGAGTCATAGAATCTCCCCGAACTTCAATTACATCACGAATTTGCGCTCACAGCGTATCTACGTATTTACCATCGCGTATGGTAGTACAAACTGGAGCTTCACCGCTGTGAGACCAACCATGAGTGACTATAATGGTTTGTTTAGTTGCGTTCCAGTGACTGTTCCGGATGGACTCTACGTCATTTAGTTTTAGGATCTCGCCATCCGTGGGATTCTCTCTGGAAAATCATATTTGGCTGAAACTGTTGAACGTACCTTGAATCTGCCTGTGCAATATTCATCAAATACAAGACAACCTATAAAGAGGGAAATTGATATAAAGTAATACCAACCGTGTGTATAGCGTGAAGTTGATCGTATCCAAGTATGTGTCCAAAGTAAGGTTTTTAGGCACGGGTTCTTTATTGATTTCAAAGTGAGTTATGTATCCGTTTTCATCCGTTTTAATTGTTGGACTGATAAAGTTCAACATCGAAAGAAGCGTAGGATACACTGAAAAAATTTGTTTCGTTACTAAGTTACTCGATTTTTCCGTATTTCGATCTAGAAAAATTCTGATACGAACGTGTTGATAATGGTACATTTACCATGGCTATCGTCGCTATTCACCACACACACCGTGATATTGTTTTACTTCTTCTTCTTCGTGTTTCGCCGCTTTTTTATACGTTGATGAGAAATAATAATTTTTCACTCGTGTAATGCACGGTTGGTAAGTGACTGATAGTCAATTGATGATGGATGAAAACCGACTCAATTGATAATGGATAAAGACCGATATAACTGATGATGATTGACGACCAACTCAACTAATGATGGATGAAGAGCAAAATTATTCCATAAGTAAGTAGTTAGAGAAATAAGGTGAATTTTTTAACTTTAACGGATGCATGATCTTAAGTGGAAAGTTGAATTAAGTTAATTGCAAAGATTTAATTATTTGCTTTAAATATAATTTAATTTATTTCTCAAAAGTATATATATTTGTGTGTGTGTGTAAATTCTATAGAATTTAGAACACCAACCGAAGGTTTGACTTTCCCTATATTTATTGACAGTCTATCGAACGATATAAATTGAGAAGGGCGGGTACTTAAGAAAGAAAGGGAGGAGATACTGAAGAAGACTTAGAAAATCGAATCTTGAGCTTTCACGAATCGATCGCCTGATTTCCAAAAATATTGCGCCATTACATATGTATATATATATGTCGGAGAAGGGTCTGGAATAAGGTTGTGGGCATTTGATAAATCTTCATTGGAATTGGTTATCGTCGTGTTATAACGAAGGTACGGTCTGTTGGAGTATGGATACTACCGACTCGACGATCAACCGCGGCGGTTGGACACTCGCGATACTAGTGATGTTGGTCTTAGGTTCAATAACGAATGCGCGGTCAACGGGATGATAGATGTACGTGCTCACAAAAATCTAAGTCGAACTCTTTGCGAAAACGTGGAATATCCACCGAGCGTACAGACACTAAGTGACTCTCTAATACGACCTCACGAGAGAATGACTCTTCATCGCGGTGATGCTGCAGAGGAAAGCTATGATGGGCTGTGTTTGAGGATACGAGATCATCGGATTCGTCGAGGATAGCCTTCGTTCAGAAGGTGAGGGAGTTTGGCGTTGCTGCTAATTGGTCAATCTCCATATCGGTGATTAGAAAAAGATGCTAGTTGCCCTCAAGGGAAAGTTGCTAGTGAGAAACGCCGTTAGTTGAAAAATAGGTCTCTCTTATCTTTCCGTAGTTGGGACAAAGTCTGTTCGTTAGAAGGACTTTAGTCAACTAAACTCTATGATTTATGACGGGCCCTCAGGCTAGCTGAACATGTGCTGCGGAGACGGATCGACATCTAGCAATCATCTTTCTCGACAGTTAAATACCTGGACAGGAGGCTAACTTGGAAAAATCACATCATAGACAAGACAAAGCAACTCAAGTATAAACTGAAGAAATTCTATTGGCTCACTGACCGACGCTCCAACCTAAGCACACAGAACAAAATTAGCCTGTACAAGATAGATGCTAAGATCCCTAATTGATGCACCTTGGTATGTAACCAATGAAACAATACACCGCGACCTCAAGATACCCACAGTCAAAGAGGAAATAGCAAAATATAGCGACAGATATAGCAAAAGAGTCAACAAACACCGAAACCCCCTAATCACTGGACTACTTGATACGATGGACCAGATTCGCAGGCTGAAGAGACACTACCCGCTAGACCTAAACGCTAGATTCAATTAGTTATCTAAATTAAGTAATATTTACTTATTTATAATATTTACTTATAAATTATACTTATCTATAATAAGTATTAACTTGTTATAAATAATCAGCCATGTCACTGCGCCACGCCAGAAAAATTACTGACAATTCTCAACGCGAGAATTGATTGTAATTTTAATAAATAGATAAAAAAAATAACAAAAACTTA